ATTTTTTTATTGGCGAAAAACTGCGAACTCGGCAAATTTGGTTGCACAACTTCCCTTTATCATATACACCCAGCGACACCGATGCCAGCTGACTGTGTACAAAACTGGTAGGAGGTAATACATTTGGGGCGAAAGTATTCAAAAATCAGTTTTTGGATGTTGCAATGGCAGTGGTGGGCCAGGATTTTTTTCCAATTAGTGACGGCACGACCTACCTGTGAAGTATGAACAAAACCAGCCGAGCCGTTGCTGGTGAAAAGTTACCCCAACTTTGGGGTCAAATTTCTCGGTAATAAAAACAGATATCAAAAATTCAAATGGTAACTTTGTGCCCACACTCAAGCTGAGTAGAATGAGCTATGTTTGAAGTGTTTTATCCCAAATTTGTAGGAGGAGATACATTTGGCGCGAAGCTATCCAAAAATCAGTTTTTTTGCTGTTGCTATGGCAACGGTGGGGCAAAAATTTTTTTCAGATTTTTTCTTATAACTAGGGTTAAGGTGTGACCTACCTGCCAAGTTTGAACGAAATCGGCCAAGCCAAAAAAATCACAGAAGAAATAATACGTGAACACTGGAACACTGGAAATGTACACACACAGACACACACACACACACACACACACACAAAACGACAAAAGTGATTATAAGGGCAATCCTAGCGGAGCGGATCGCCAATTCATTGTTCTAGCGTAGCTGTGGTGTATACATGAGTTTAAGGTAAAGAACACGAAAAACCTCGAACATAATGCGTGTTTGATGATAAAAGCACTGCAACAATTCTATTATCACTTTTAGTTAGACGTGTATAAAAAAGCATGTTTCGTCTAATAGCATCAATTGTGGGAATGTCGGAGGACACAAACATGCCGCTAGCACTACAGTCCCTGGGCCGACTAAGGAATACACGAAATGCATTATTATATGCAAACACGGCGATCATAAATAAATTTACGACTATGTTGAAACCAAAAGGTTCGGAACAATGTAATGTTAACATCACTACTGCAGCTAGAAAATGGTCGGAACAATATATTGGCTCTGTCGTGGAATGATCAAATCTGTCGTGTTATGTCCTCATCATACATGCAATTATCAGCAACGACAAATCCTAAATAAACGAACTGGTGCACAATTTTCAGTTTAGAGTCACCTCGATATACGGGTGGAATCACAATGCTTCTAAAACACTCTTCCGTGAAATAAAGTACATACATTCAGACTTCTTAGGATGGTAAATAATATCGAAGACCGACCCATATTTATAGCAAACATTAACGATGGTTCGCAAACCACGGATGGACGGGCTAAGGATAACCATGTCATCGGCATACATCAGATGGTTGATAAAAATGCTGCCCACGTAACAGCCCATTTTTTATTACTTTAAACGGGAACTGAGGTCATCATTATACACGTTGAAAAGTAAAAGCGAAATAATGCTACCTTGCCGAACGCTGTTTTCAACAGAAAACAAGGTAGAAGTAGAATTTCCCAAGCGAACAGTGAACAGATGAGTACGATACCAAACAAATAAAATGTGAATAATATTACCAGGTAGACAACCCATGTCAATCAACTTTTTAAACAGGGATCAATGCCTGACACGGTCAAATGCCTTGGTGGCATCTAAAAAACATGCATATATATAATAGCATGCGTGCTATTATATGAATGATGATGATGATTTTTTTCATAGCATAAATACACATGTTCGTAGAGTGTCCAGGTTTAAACCCAAATTCAGCATCAACTATTTCAGAAAACCACGAATTCTGTTTAAGATAATATTTTCTAAAATCTTAGAGGATCTTGAACTTGATCTTGATTACTGTGCGCAGCTTGAAAACACACTGGCTGTAGCTATCATCATTATATTTTCTATTTTCTATTTTGGATGTCACTAAAACTTGGGGTCATGGTAGCTCCTAAAAAACGATGATTGATTGTGTATAATTATTGCACGATGTGTTGGGTACAATAAATATGTTTAAAGAGATTTGCTCTTTAAATACTGTTTATGGCACTCACATGTTCAATTCACACAATGGCAAAACAAGAGAAACATTTTTGTAACTGATTCTTTTTCTGTGAGATGGTCTCGAAATGTCAAGCTGGTTACTTACTTTACTATGATATATTAGCTATTAAAATCGCGTAATGACGGTTCTTGACATACTGTGATTGATTAGATATCATTATTCCCCACATTTTAAGAGTTCGAAAATTACCACAGTTACTGTTAATGTTAACACATTGGCACGGCAAAAGTAACAGTGTTAAGGCTAACGATTTGAGCAAGAACTTAACTTGAAATTGCTCTAGCAAATTAACACTGTATAAAATACTATCAGTGGTACATGTTACCATAATGGCATCACATACGCACGTTTGGTTCACACGACGTTTATGTACTATTTAGGATAAGCAACTTGAATGTTTAGACATTATAAACGTATATTACAGAAATTTTATAAATACATTGTTTACTATTTGTATTTATTAGTAGTGGCAATTTCGCAATGCTTCAACCTTGAGACACGTCCCTGGTAACCACGTGATCAACGGCTGCAGCGATTGGCTGGTCGCTTGTTTAGAGTTTTATTAGAAAATATGTAAGATTTTGTAGAAGGGGGCAGCAAGGCGTTAACTCAGCTTCCCGTTACGGTGGATAAACTTGGACTATCTGTAATGAACTAATTGTGTACTATTTCGGGTCAAACCTGGTATCTTTACAGTGTAAGTGTTATCTGCCAAGCGAGTTGAAGTTTCCTACACACCACGTTCCTTTCGTAGCAAATGACATTTTGGTGTCAGAAGTGGAATTTATTGGCAGTTGATGATGATTATTGGACTGAAAATGTGCCATGTTCAGTCTTGATGAGGGGGCAATGTCAGAATTCTTTGTTATATGTTTTTGTTATATTACCTCAAACCCCGCAAATATAAGTGTGCATGGAATCATGGGAAGAATCTGTGTGCATTGCCGTGTGATACATGTAATAAAGGTAATTGACAAGTCATACTTGTATCCAACTCTGGAAGGACAGTTGGAATCTACCAGGTGTGCTGTGATTTACATAACACAGGGTGTTTACAGCTTTGGAAGGACAATAGGAACCTACCAGATGTGCTGTTATCTGAATAACAAAGGATATTTATGATCTACTGAGTTGCCTACGTGACACAACTGCTAGCAAGATCACATTCTGATTGACACATGTGGAAACCCAGGTGATGTCCCTAAATCTGGGCCATTTATGCCTATAAATTGGACAGACTGAGGATAGTTGGGGTGCATCATTTCTAACGCGTACCCTGTGTGTTCCTGCTTCGATATTGTGATACAAGTGATACAGGCTTCAATCATCGTTCTGTGACATACTTCTATATCATTTTTTTGTCATATAAGTACCACAACCATGTTTCAAGTTTCCCGTACTGCAGCAGTAGTTTTATTTGCTCGCCTCTGCAAGTGAGTATGTACAAGGATAGATACACCTTGTTCGTGCGCAACACATAAATTGTGTATTTTTGACGAACTCGTCGATGACGATGCCTCCATTGAGGTCAGTACGCATTAAACAGGTTGTTAATTCAAGTTCAAGTATGAGGTAAACACTGTAGTCTTTCACAATTTTGTAATTTAGTTGACGTTACTGTAATCACGTTGCTATAGTTACATTGCTAACATGACTAAAATAATATAAGAAATTGGAATGAAAATGATCATATAGACTGGTTGAATCATAACACTTCTAAATTTAGAATATTTTAGCGTTGAAATATACATACAATATACATGTGACAAATGTGGTTCGCCGGTTAAAAGCGTGCGTTTATGCTGATTTGTCTGTCACATATTTGGCGTTTGCAGTTTCTAGAAATTCCACAACAACAGTTCCGTTAAGTTTAAATAACAACTCATGTAAATATTTCTCGGTATTTTGAATAAGTTTCGTCTCATCCTCATGGTCGTAACACAAAGTGCCATGAAACTTGTCGACCATCTTGGATTCCTCAGCTGTGTACGTGGTTTGTGACATCATTATTGGCTGAATCGCGATAAAAAAAATGGCGGCCGGTAGATAGTAGATGTTTCTTCTTTATTCGCGTTGGGATCTAGGAGAGTAACTGATCCTACTCTCCATCACTGTGACAATAAGAAACTTGACGTAAAGATTGCCTGCCACTAAATGTATGTCGCAGTGTGATAGCATCCGGGGACTACACTCCACACAGTGAGTGAAACAGTGCCCGCTATGAATGAACACTTTTCAAATTATTTAATATCATATTGTTCTTCATATATATATCTGGACCGTTGTAGCTTAGTAACCAGTGTGTCGTCACAAGACCTTTGCCCTGTGAAAAGTAAACAAAGGCGAATAAATACAACAGTTTAAGTTGCAAAGCGCAAGAATTTTAAAATTTGTAATAATGTTTGCAACTGAACCTAATTGAAGTTTAATAATTCCACGATTGTTCTAGGTTGTCAGATTATCATTATATTTTTTTCTATAGACAATTTACATCATTTCTATGAGTTGAACATATTGGGAAAAAACTTCGCATGAGTCGATTTCAACATATTAAAGATGGTCGCCAAGTCTTGAAACTCTGGTTTTGCTACTCATTGAACCTCATTAATTTACATTAGTGACAACATTATTGCGAAAATGTAAAATGATCGAAACCCTGCAATAGTAGTGTGATGTAGGCAGAGACGCCATTTTGCACATCGGAACTAGACGCATAGTACCGGGGACAGACACCAAACGGACTTGTTAAATCTAGTGACTAGTTTCGTTTTAGTATGATGGGAAGCGTGCATAGACCCTCAATAACCACAATGGACAGGCTTGTGATGTTTTATGAAAAATGGTTTCGATTAATAATGGGACGCTCAAATAATATTCAACAGATAGGCTTACGTCATGACCCCATGCTTATTTAAACTGCATAGCGCATGCGTGACCTCGTTCAAGTTGTCATGCATTGCATCACACACGCGTGACGGGTAGGAACAGGTGAGTGAAACACAAAATTTCGGGGCGAACATCAGTTTACTTTTCGAGTCTGCTGTCACTGAGATAAAGATCTTGGTGTCTGCGATCGCGACTTTCTATTGTCCGAGACACCAAACATAACTACTTCGTCGACAGGAAAACACAGCGGGCCCACACATCCTGACAAATGGCCGAATGCTGCATGTAAACATAAGTTAAAGGGCTCACATTGTAGCCATTTAAAGCAATTACTGTGTACTGTGCCTATTTTTCACTTTTAAGTATGTTATATAGTATTCAATATTTCAAACTGTACAGTAGCGAATTGTTAACTGTTTCCTTTTTATTAATTTATTCAAAGTCCACGGGTAACCTATATAACTAACTATGACTGCTTATTAGTATTATAATTTGACTCATTATACTGACTAAAGTAAGATGGCTACACAAAAGTAAAAATATTGTTATTTTCATTTTTACATATCTTATATATTATGTTACAAGAAAGACGAAAATAGAATAAAAATATCAGGGGCACAATACTTGGTTAGGAGAAAATTTGAAATGTACAAAATGAGTGAAAATTACATTTTTGTCTGTTTTGATAGATTTATAGTGTCCATACGTATTGAAAATATTTTTGTGGGTTTTTATCGAGTAAATGAGCTTTCATTGTGATCCATTGAAACTACTGCTAAAATGACATTTTCTGCATACTTTTTCACCGTTTTTCTCGAAAAAAACAGATTGACAATAAACCACAAAAGTCTACAGTCTGTTGTCTAATACTAAAACAATTAATTTTAGAAATGTTGTCACCACTATGTATGCTTAAATGTGAAAACTGATACTACATCTAATGCATGACGGGATATGTTAGTTAAAACATAAGAATACTATAAAAAAATCATCGGGAAACGGTTATTTCCAGTTCATGTAGATATTGACTGCGCACAAAGCCGTCACTTACATTATAGGAAGAACAGGAAATTAAGAGAACGAAGCCAATCCTCACGCGGACATTCCTCCACTCTTTGTGATACCGAGGCGAGGGTTATTTAACAAGCACTAATGAGAGCGACAGTAAACTGTGCCGACAGTTATTATGGCCTTCGTCCGATGGGACGCCATTCGCACCTAATACACAATGTTTAGACGATTGAGTGGAACGTACTAATTGAAACCGCTGAATCGAGGGTTGAGTTGGGAAATCGAGTTGACATTATGCAGAATACGGGGTGAACTAGCGAATCATCTTATCATGTCTAGTTTCAACTATGGTGGATATTAGGAAATTAACTACATGCCTACAGGGACGTAATACAAACAAATCCCAATAACGATGTCATATCTCTCCATTCAAGCATGCCGCGTTACGTACAAATACGTTGCAGCCGTGCAGTGAAATAAGTAGTATTGCATATTCACAAAGCATAATTTCTCTTATGTTCAATACAGTCGTCGGTATCCATTTTTGGTGGAAATCGAAATAAAGGATTGCAACACTATACATGTCAGAAGCAACTGTTAGGTATAATGTAAACGATATTCTGTCAGCATAAAAACAATTTTAGCTTTAGTTTATATGGTGATTATATTATACTATATCGCAAATTGTTGCCTATGTTATACAGTTAAAAAAATAGGCAACGTGACTGGGTGTGGATAATATTTGTCATTCTGAATTATTTGTTAAAATATGATAAATTATTCATTCTCGTCTGAAGTATTAGGAATGGTGCGTCCTCGAGGTTGAATGATTCATTTATGTTCGCCGTTTCCACATGTTATAATTTAACGTAATATAATTACCTTCATCTCAACTTGTCCGCGTAATTCCGTTTCAAAACTTGGGTCCAAACTTAATATATTTATTGTAGATACACTGCAATGAATCTTTAATGCTGAGGAAAAAAATTACGTGAATAAATTTCAATCAATAACAGCAGATTATTTTTCTAGAATGGTATCGATTATTCGAGTATGTTATGTAAGAGTGGGTTCACTGACATTTAAAGCTCTGATACAAGACAAAATAACGTGCTATAAATTAAATCAAAACTATTTCACGGACAGATTTCGTATATTGGATCGGAGGATTATGACTCACGTAATCCGTTTGATTCCATTCTGGAGGCAGTGTTCACCGTGTCTCCGAATAGACAATATCGTGGCATTTTAAGACCAACCACACCTGCACACACGGGACCTGAAGAGGATATCAAAAAGATTTTATGTTAATCTCTTTAACATAAAGTGGATGGAAGAATGCCATGGAAGAATACAATAAACAGTAACAATGAATTTGCTATTGAACCACATAATAATTCATCAACGACGTTGTTTGATTTCACTGTAATGTTGTTAATATTTATATTGTCTACACGCTTTATCGTATGACTACTTGTATTGTTAAAGCGCGGTGGTCGTCGCGCAGCGCGTGTTCGAATTCCATTTTACACGCGTTGTTTATGTCGCTATGAGTCCCATATCGAACAGGACGCGGCACGGCGACTGGCGCCCTTTAAACACACTTGAATCACATAAATCTGTTTGACCGTGTCTACAACATCGTACATTATAAGGCTGCTTATTACTCGCTCCGACGTTCGGACTGTGTATTTACCTGTGTGGATACCAATACGAAGTTTTAATTGTTCTCCAGGCTTGTGTCTTATTTTGAACGTCTTAACACCATCTAGCAGCGATAGTGACATCTTTGCTATTTCACATGCATGTTTATTACCATTACGGACAGGAAGACCCGATACAACCATGTAGGCGTCGCCAATCGTTTCCACCTTTAAAAATGAATATACATACTAGTACGACATCGTGTGGGATTCACTCACATGGATTGTGCATTGAATAACCGTGATGCGAAGAAAATGCGAAAACACTTAAAAATGAACTCTGACCTTATATACGTCATAGTTGTCTATGATTGCATCAAAACAGGTGTAGAGGTCATTCAAAAGGTCAACAACCTGAAAAGAAATCACGGACAGGAAACATTATGCCAGACGATTACGTCACGACACGTGAAAGGCTGTATTATTGAATAAGGCTCTAGTCACACATCAACAAAGCAGAATACCAAATGTAAACAGGTTCATGTTAGCATACATTTTGAGCAAAAACAGTCAACGTCCACTACAGACAACATAAAACTTATTGACCCGAAACCCACATATTCGCCTATAACGCACTTATTCATTTGCAATCAACAGCTTTTATGTCAAAATCAATCATCTTAAATATATCTGATCAATACATGGAATACATTACTCTGTTGGGAACTACCATCGACGTGCAGAATATGCATTCACGTCAAATCACAGTGAGTAGTAACTGTAAATTTGTTTGACATACGAGTGACCTCCACGTAAGAATAAATTACTTGGACCTTGATTCATCACACCCCACGAGTTAAAAAAACATTACAATTCTAAATTAGTGATATTGCACTAAACAGAAAGACGGAAAAAATTGAAAGTTCTTGAGTAGGGAATAACATAGTTGAGTTTTCCTCTTCCTGTGCACTCAAAACGCTTACATTTCTAGAGTTAATACGACCATCATCTACTGTATATGGCGGTTATATCTTGGCCAACGACAACATTTTTGCTATCAGGCTTAATCACGCCCAATGGAAACACGCACAACTGGTGTAATGTTATATTGATAACATGAACTTAACGCGATTTACTAATATTTACTACAAAAAGATATATTTTCAAATACGAACCTGAATGTTATATTAAATTGTAGATAAGGTGATTGAGACTTGAATAATGATGATATTTATGGTGAAATATTCACACAGATGTTCATCAAAAAATACATGTTACACACAACGTATCAGCAATATTATCGGCAAGTGTAACATATAATGAGACATACTGGCAATAATATACACTGAGTGGTAGACTCGTACCTCTATTGGAGTACTACTGGCAGACAGCGAAGTGAAGCCTACAATATCACTGAAGTATATAGTAACACCGTCAAACCATTCAGGGGCTACTTCCTTACCACGTTTTAACTGATTGGATACTGACCTGAAATACATAATGACACGTTTAAGATTGAGCAATAATACGACAGTAATTATTATATCCTTGCTCACGCCAGTAACAGATCGGCTTGTTGAAGTTTGTTCACATGAAGAACTCTAAATTCTGACATGCATATGTGTGATGGTTTTCTAATTCCCCATGAGTTGAGTTGAGTTGGTTTGCCTTTACCGCCACATTTTAACGTCACTGTACTGTGCGACAGGGAGATGTGAAAAAGGTCATACTAGAACGGTTTTTCTAGTGCTTTAATTTGCACAATGTTTTGATTACATGCAATTCATATATAATCTGCATTGTAATATGCAATGAAAAAGAAGGCAGATTGTTTGAGATACTGAGCTATATTAATGATATCATTCTCATGGTATGTTACACTGTAGCTACGAAAGATCTTAAATATTATTACTCATTACCCCGTTTATCACTATTGACTAAGTGGAACTACCTTACAAATTAAAAAATAATACCTCGGTAAAAGTCTGTCTAGCAAATCTTCAGCTCGTTTCTTCTCCTCTAAATACTGTGATGTTCTCTCTTCCACCAAACCTTCTAGATTGTTAGCGTATTGTTCCATACGGGCTAGTAAATTGTCCAGTATATTGTCTCCTTTTTTACTAAATGTATAAATGGGCGATTATGGTTAAAATGTATATAATATTGACTCGTGCTAGGATAGCGCTGACCCACTCACGGGACAGAAAGTAGAGCGCTAAATATATGTTCAAATAAGCAGCAACAAACAAACATCAGCGTATTGCTAAAATGTCTTGACAAACACGCGAAACTGATCGTGTTAAATACGAGACAACTTACGTGGCAGGGTTAAGCTTTCTCACTATGTTTTTTATTTGGGACACGTCAGGACGGTCCGTTGGTTCTTCAGCCCAACACCGAGTCATTAGCATATCGACATCTTTAGGACATTCGCCATCACCGACAGTAGGACGAAATGGCGGATTCTCATTAGCTCTTACTTTTTCAATCACGTCTGTAAAAAAGACATAAAGCAGATAGAACACTTATCGTTTGGTTACTTATATAATTAAATATACAATGTTAGATTATGTTATAATTAGTACGATTGGAAAATCACAGTAATTACCTTTGGGCGAAAGTCCGATGTCATCTGTGTAGAAAGGTCCACTTCTCAGCGCTATTTCCTGCATAATAATTCCAAAGGCGTAAATATCTGCTTTCTGTGTGCCACATGAGGGCGCTTCTCCTCTCAGTATCTCAGGTGATCTCCAGAGCATTCCTGCAATTAAACACACCAAACTCAATGTGAAAATAGGGTTTATTGAATTAGGATATCTGAAATATGATCCAAAGATGTTTCTTTATTAAGTTAATCCTAGCAAAGAAAATAATGTTTTCACGATTATCACAATTCTTGGTATACGTGACGAGTTGTTACCATGGAAAAGTTCCGAAGTTGTTGCCATCATGTCGAACAAAATAAAAAAAAAACCGAACGACTAAAAAAGAAACATACTGTCTGCACGAGCTGATTTTGCCAAACCGAAAGTTTTGGGGCTCAGTGACGTCACATGCATACAATATAGTATCATCAGTTTCGTATTTTTCTGGTTTAAATAATAAACGCAGTGATTCCTATTTTAGTGATAATATTACTATGGAAAATAATTGTTAATTAAGAATTATTGTAATTATATATGTGCGTGTTATTACTCATAATCGGCTAAGGTGAAATTTGATTGCAAAACCGACGTTGTTGCATATTTTCACGAGAACATATTTTGGCGAAAATCGGGAACACAGATAGCACGTAAAAGTCATCTGTTTAAGCATATACCGAAAACAAACTATCATGCGACATGTATGAGTCAGCGAACGGTCAATTAAACGGATTTTTTTTATAAATGAACCGTGACTATGGTAACTGAGACTTGTTGTTTATCTCCCACATGACTAGTTCCCTACGCAACAGTTGTGTGAAACCGTATATTGTCATTTTTTATTCTACACGAATACTGATTGAGAGTGAGGTACATTGTTAGGTTTTCATGGTGTGTTCACTTTCAGATTTTGCAAACATTTTTGTGGTGTTTATCGATACAGTAAATGCAGCCGTACCCTGTGGAATCTGTGCAGTTCGAGGGCAGCATGCTTAGATGTGTGCGTATAAAATTCGCAGTCTCTACTGAAACCGTCTCGGCCATCGTAATTCAGGAGTGTGCATATACATGCGTGTACTGACGGAGAAATACTCATTGACAAGTCTGCATACTGATAAGCAGCAATAACAATGAATATCTACATTAAAAGCGGGGGAGTCGTCACCTGCGCATGCGTCAGATGGCCATAGCGTGTCATCTTTGTCACAGCGTGCGCTGGTGACGACCCTCCCATAATGAATGATAATTGACTTTTGTAGAAAACCATTGAATTACGTTCTCCATGGACGGTTGAAAAATGTTATCGATTGCATACCCTTATATACAAGAAAAGTGATTTATTGAGACGGTGTTAATACATATATTTACTGTATTATTCAGTGTTTATTCTGAAGTGTCGCAGCCGACTTTTCTGCGCACAGGTCATTTTATGTTTCTATACTGAAATAGACCCATTCAAACATCGAATTGACCTTGAAGCTCTCCGCTGCACACCGCATACTGCCATATTACCAATATTTTTATTAACATCATGACGTTTCATTCTGTCACGTGACCTCATTCGTCATAAGGATCAAAAGCAGATTATGGATTATGCTTAAGTCTAGTAAATGCAGTTTACAAACAAATGATGAATTGAATATAAATCTCTCATTATAAAACTAAAACAATGTAATCATCTCATGTATTGCAACATAATCCATCTGATTGCACAAAGTACTTACGCATGTGCCTTGCGTGTTCGTTCTCATCGTATTCACCATAGACACCGCCGCCATTCTGAACAACAGTCGGTGCACTAGCTCGAATTTCATGTAGGCCGAAGTCGGTCAACTTCAGTACAAACCGACTGTCGACGACACAGTTCGATGATTTGAGATTACCATGCCACTTAAGAAAACTGGCCTGGATGTACTCAAGGCCCTGTACGAGTTTAAAAACAGAAATCGTTAAAATGCACAAACGATGCAATGAAACCTTCAAACGTGAACAATATGGTATCATGTTCAAGCAATGCTGTTACTGCGGTAATGGTAAATGTGACGTGTACATATGAATTTCTATAGAGCCCGGCTATGTGAACAGCAATCATGTTTCTGCCAATTTTATCGCGTTTCAAAACAAAAATGAACTCATCAATACCAAATCGTTATCGTCATTATATATAGTCACAGGACAGTGGTTGTCACGCAGCGAGCTTTCACATTTCGAGTAAATAAACATTGCATATGGGGTTTCATACGATTCAGCATGGTCTGAACACATTGAACACGACGCAAAGGACACATTTGTAGAAACATGTGGCATTCTTAAATAGTGTCATAGTTTACCTTGCACACGTCAAGCATCAATGAGTATCGAAACATCCAATCGAGTTTAATTGCGTCATTTTCCAGGGTGTCCTACGGTAAACAAATACCAATATGTTATTACTTGTCACAGCTGTTTATTTTGTGTTGGATAGTGTGTTATGGAAACTGTGGTACAAGGGAATTTGTGATGTGTACATCTTTTTAACTTCTATGTATTATTCTTTTTTAATCTGAAATAAACCTCATTATATAATAATTACTATCTTATTTAAAGCGGGGGGGGGGGGTCGTCGTCACCTGCGCACTTGCGGGAATTGAGTCCCAATCGATGATAACAACACACGCTAAAAACGCAAGGGCTCGTCGGTAGACGCTTGTTTGTAAACATTGACACGCTATGGCCATCTGACGCATGCGCAGGTGACGACTCCCCGCTTTAATTCATATACATGGTTGTGTGGCGCGTGTGTGTGAAACTGAAGATATACCCAGCGTGCATCGCGTCACCTCCATAAACAGAATGACAGAATAATTCGCTATAAGGTCTGTATCGAGGATATAAGTGTTGGTGTTAGTTACCTGGAGACTGCCTTTTTGACAGTACTCGGTAATCAAACAGCTCCTCTCGACTTCATCAAAACAAGCACCAATGAATCTCACCACGTTGACTTGACTCAAATCACGCATCTATAACAGAATCGACATAATATCCAACTCTGATATTAATCTGAATCACCAAAGTTGTTGGCTGATTTTGCCTTTTGAATACCTAATGATTGAGAATCTCCATAATATATGATTTTTACTTATCAAACGTAGTTATGAACTACAACACAGGCATCCTGTAATATTTGTTAGCCAAGATATGTTTTTTTTTATATATATATTGTGTTGGTCATCTCGTCCGCCATCTGTAGTATTCAAATGTCTCGCAATTAAGGGCGCCAAGGTTGCATCATACAAATTCCCAGTCAGTAGGTTCGTATAATACAAACACCACCAAAAAGCATTAGGTAAATCATAATTTCGGATTATGTGGTCTGCCGCTGGACTAATACTATGTCATTCATACATTATTCAACAACACAGCACGATTGTATACTTGTACAAATAAATACAAATTATTTCTGACAACTACACTGCCACCATTTTGGGCGTGACAATTGCAGCTTTTAATGTCGGATACTGCATTTTAAGCACGTGCAACGTAATTCAATGTGTTAATGTATTTTTACCAATTTAAGTTCCAATAACAGATTCGGTGTTAAAGCAATCCGCTTCCCGGAGTGGAGAAACTTGATGGCGTAAACATTTCCCTGTAAAAGAAAACGTACATTGGTAAAGTCATACACAAGGCAATTAACTAACGAGTGCGGCGTGATGGGGAGATTTTACTCGAATACTCTTTGCAAATTAACAAATTTAAAGCGAATTACAAATAAGAGCGGAATTTAACAATCCCGCTCGAAATCAATAAACGACCAATCGAAACACCCGATGCATTTGACAAAATAATTATTATATGCTTTGAGGAGTCAGCGATAAAAAAATCGACATGAACAAATATTGAATCCTGTGGTTCGACATCGTTGATTTGTGTTTCAATATGCAGGAATATAACCAGCTTAAGTTTATAACCTGCATGAAGCATGTAGATCAGAACGAAACCATTTATGTCATCTAAGAATTGTGTATCAAATATCCTGCCTATGATGCCGAGGCTCATAGCTGAATAAGCTATCACTGATAATTCTATTTACTAAAATGTGTTAATGCAGCTAGTCTCGCAGCATTTAAACTTGAGATCTATTTGGGAGATCTCACTATATTATTAAAATATATCGCGCGTTGTCAAGCGCGCGCCAACAAGCGTACGTTTTATGTGACCAACGCCTAACGCGCGCCTCGCGGTGATCGCCATCGGTGATTGTTATAATGAATTCTGTACGCATGTATGAGTATTTTTTTTCTTATCTAACCCCACGTGACTAAGTAAATTGTTAATCACATAAACGTTCAATTACCAACTAGACCAATGCTTGGCATCAAAGTTTATTGACCTATATTTTTTTTAGTAGTACTAATTTTCATTTTGTTATCTTTTACGAGTGACAATGAAGTCCATGTGCGAATCGTAAAAAATGGAATATACATCTTTTTCTGATTGGTAATGGATTTCTTTAAATTTTTAATTTCGAAAAGATTAAAAGTAGAGCTTATAATCCGTTGTTGTTGATGACGAATATTCGGGGTATAAAAGTTACGATGACTGAGGGAAGATTTATGCGACGGAATAACGATGAAGAATAAATTTGTTTGTCAGAATTCCACCACCAACGAGGTACTAGTATATGGTAGAGGCTGGGAATTAATAATTTCAATTTACCGTAGACATAACATGTCATCGAAATCTTGTTGATAGCGAGGGAGTCAAACATTTGACATGTTTTTTGCCCCGCAACTTGCACTCATTTTACCGCGTCAACTACAAGAATTCTAAATATCATTGTTACATATATTTTAAAATGACGGGAAAATACCGTGTTATGAAGTACGTCTCAGAGAGACCGCTCTAGAATAGGCAGTTTTTCCCGGGTCTTGGGAGGTCGGCAAATGAATACGTCACAGGGTATGCCCATGTATATTATTTCAGTCGTAATAAACCGATTGTCTTACTTGAAGCAATACATTGAGCGGGTAATCTTATCTGCGATTATTTTGTCTACTGACATTTAAAAGTGAATGGAGATAGTCGTTGAGTAGTGTTATCGATACACCCCACAACTACTCATACGCAACAGATCCACTCGTTTAAAAAGTTTAACCCGGGTTTGAAAGACTATTAATGTGTCTTATATATCGAGCCTAATACTTTTGCATCAATTAGATGTTACTAGATGGAAATAACATGTTATCGTGGTTATATTAACTAAACAAGATTGAATGTACGGATACACTGCCGGTAAGAAACGGGTTCGGTTCCGTTTCATTTTACAAACAAATTTGGACTACAATCATATTTTCCATGTATCTGTGTTATGTTTCATCTAACATCGAATATGTTATTTGGGATAATGTAGCTAACTTTACAATTTTCATTGTTTTTTGTAAATGTATTATGATTACAACGAAGTCAACTCTCATTTATTTTATTCTTGAACATAGTTCATAGTGGAGAATTAATAAATGTACAAATAAATATCTGAAATGATCGTAAAAGACGGGGTTCACTACGAAAGCAACAAACCATTTAGCAGATATAACTTTTGTCTCGTGATTTCAGATCTTCTAAACTGATTCACGCGAGATCTCAATAGGCGCGGAAAATTCGAAGTGTAACATAGCTAAGCCCCCTAACTTTAGATATAAACGCATAAAGGCCTTGAAATGCACAGATGCGCATATCAAACGTTGTACACAAAGAAAAGAACATTTGAAATAATGTGGTAAATATATTACATACCTTATATGTGCATGTTTTTGTGAATACTTGGTCAACATCTGCATTAGACTTTAATGACAAAGTTGATGTCTGCAAAAAAAACAAATTTCGTATTAAACGCACATTGACAAATATTGACGTTAAATAAACCGAATATGAAGGTCAATTATTGATCAAAGTTGGTTTAAAATTGCCTTAATACATTTTCAAGGTTTTAAAATGATTGACAATCACTTTGCTCATAAATTGATGTCATGAAGTATGTCAGTCAGCTTGAAATGTATTTGTCTGATGTCAGTCACAATTTTATCATTTCGAAAACTGCGTCATGATAATTGACGATAACCTTAAACATGCAATAGACTGGGGTAAATGCAAATAATTGGCTCGAAATTGGACGAAAATCAGCAAATCAAAGTTAACAAATTGGACAAGTCAATTGTCGTCAATCTGCAATTGCCATATAATCTTTCCCAATCAGGAAAAACTTTGCTACTCTTTGCTTCCTGTTGCGAAGGTGATCTCTTTCCCTTAATAACATGATGCTACCATTAGAAAATTGATATAAATTGAAATTATTTCAAATCTCACATATATTACCCGTTATTGAATATTAAATACAAAAATTAAAATTTGATTACTTACCTTCATCGTGGCTTGTGTAGCGCCCATTTTCCCGTGCAATATTATGTCATCGAAGCTGATTCGCCATAACATATTTGCAACGGCTTGCTGTAATTTGTATTTCCTTTGAAAGACATTTTGACAATCATGATGTTTGCGAAGTAATTCTATACGTCCTCCGAAATGGTTAATTAACAAACAAAGGAACTTCTTTACTAATGCAAGAACATAACATAGGATGTTCGAGCAACTCAAGCGTAAGCGTTAATTTAAATTACTTTTCAACCAAATCGACGACTAGTGTATTACCGTGTTTGTTTGTCCCTATTTGGTTTGCAAATCAAATCATTTCAGCTTTAAAATAATGTATTTTACTTTACGTGGAACCATTGCGTCATTTACGCGAACATAGATACACAATAACGATATACATCCACGTTCCATTCGAACGTCAAGTCTGATTTGGGTATTCGAATTGAAATACAAGAGTGTGTAGACATTGCGATAATAGAGAGCATTTACAAATCTTGCGTTGTAATTGTTTGGGTAGGAAAGATAATGATCTTCACAGATGTCGCCCGGTCGTACACGTGTTAACATTGCAGCAAGTGTGATCTTTCGTTTAACTACGATTATTTTTCGAAATTTCACATTAAAATTTGTGAAACGCTAACCTGTGGCTGTTCACATGTGTGGAAATATGGAATTCAAGAAAATATACCGGTGCACTGTGACATTATGTAGCTGACATTTCGATGATGAATTTTCTGTTGTTCTTATTACGCTCTATAATCCTTGCTCGTACCGACTAGGTCATGAGTGACCCTACAATATTTGAATTATTAAACGTGCCGTGTGTAGTAATTTTAAAGCGTTCTAAGCCTTTGGCGAAAAAATTCTACGTCAGTTCAATGAATCGTATATAGAATTCAATACACGTAATATCGTCTTTGCTCATTTGCATAAATGAACGCAGATTGTATAGACCGATTTATAATCTGTATTTGATTCTGGCAAAATATTTATTGTTTTTCAATGTTTAAGTATGTCTAGGTTGTATGACCTAAGTTACACTCTACTTGAACTCAGTTACAGTTGATTTTTTTAATCATGGCTTCAGGATATTGCTATGTTTCGTTGCAATTACACGTGGTTTATGACGTAAACTGATTGCTTGAGATAAAACTTTTGCCATTTATTTTCACCCGACAGGTTAATTCTGTGTTTGAAATAAACTATGTAGCAATTATATACAGGTTAGAAAAAAAGGCTGCGGCAATATGTTTGCGGTGCTTGGATGGCCTTGAGTGCCGATAACGATCGTAAAAGCTAAGTGAAGAATTCCAGGTTCATTATTTCAATAGATACCGTATACCGCCATGATTATCCCCGTTGTTGGTTAGCTGCTCGACCGAGCTATGCGTCATCAATGTTTCGGGCAAGTGTTCACCTGCCGGAAGTCTCGATATTCAACAACGTGCCAATCAAGTTATTTGGAATTTTCTACAAACAAACTTTCTATAAATTTTCTCGAACGGAGTGAGACACGTGCACTTAATAGCTTCAATAATTGTGTGCGGTTCAGAGGTTAAAATAAGGTGGAAATATGTGACACGGTTCTCTGTCACCTCACTAGTCAGTACATCTCGGACGACTGGGGTTGTGGTAAAATAGGCAAGCGGATTATCTTTATCGAATACCATACAATTTTATTTTTAGGGGAACATTCCTAGTGTTTGATACCAGCAATAGACACCCGTAAGGGGAAGTCATACACTCAACAATGGAACCTAACCGAAAGGAAAAACATTTTACAAATATTCCCATGTTAACCATGTGGCGCCCATGTATAATTCAAGCTTTTACGCTTGTTCTTTTAATACAAAATCTACCAAAGAAGGGCCTTCCCCCTAAATGTCTGTCATTAGTAAGGACTACGACTGGCCACTACAATTTTAAATATTACATTTGTAGGTTCTCGCAGTTTTCACCATTTTTTTTATTTTACTGCATGCGTAGCATTGGCAGATATCTCCGAATGATTGTTTTGTTTGAAAAAAAAATACAAAAATACAGTAATACAAAATAATTGTTTGTGTCGTCAGAGGAGCGTTCGTATATTAGGAGTAGCGATATTAGTATCATTGATATATTCGCTCATTACCTCGATAACATTAAGGCCAGTGACATGGTAATTGTTTGAGTGGTTATCCTCAGCCGATATTCGTTCCTCCAACTGTACTGAACTGGTGCATGCTAGCATACTTATTATTTAGTGAAATAATTGCCTCTGAAGACCCTTTCAAAACTAGTAAATTACGGTCATTACCAATTCGCAGCTAAATAATTAGATATTATTAGTTTGAAGTATGACCAATTTTACGGATGGTCGTATCTTATATGTTACAGTAGTGATAAAGTATAACGGAAAACTCCGACCAGATACAAGGTTCATGGCACGGTGATGTTCGTCGTTATGCCTAGGTCATATAATATCGATCATTGATGCACCCGGGGGAATTTTACGCAAGTCGCTTTGTGAGTTTTTTTCCAATGATTTACGTGCCATTCAATGAGTTGAAATGAGCTGGGACTAATTTATCAATATCCCGTGGCTTTTAAAGATTGCTTGCCCCGCCAAACAAGATACCGATAACAAGGCCTGAATTAGCCTTATCACCGTTATTCTAGCTCATACAATTGCAGAATGACGAAACCAAACACAGCTGGGTCGTCTATCGATGTAATCAATAAACGTCAATTCGTCAGCGGTGTTTATATGCGTCAATGATGTCTCGATCCTGGCCCTTCACTGCGACCCACTTTTCACTGGATACATATTTTCGCAAAGAAATCATAAGGACAATAATTACACACTGACCTGTACATAATGACTATCACGACGCCCAGTATAATAAGTAACCCGGCAAAAACTGATGCAATTATGTACAATGGATTGATAGGCTCTGTGTGGAGATACAAAATGTGAAAGAGCGCGTTACGGGAAGTACATTGTGATATATCATCAGATGTAACTCGTAATATATAATATATAAAGTGTATATATCATATATAAAAAAAACATACTTTTTATTGTGGTTGTTGGGCACGATTTGAAATTCAGTTATTCGAAACAAATACACCAATCCTTTCTATATTTGATGTTAACACCCCATCAAATGTTTATGACACTAATCTAAAAGTTTCAAACTACCAAAATGCCTTGCAATCATTAGAATGAAGGTGTTTAAATACCTGTCTCTGGGCAGTACTCGTTGAAAAAACCGCAATCTGGCTCGTCTTTAGGGGGCCCAGGTGCTCCTGCTGGCCAGTGGATTGAGCGTCCTTCGACTTCCATGTATGTTTTGCTGTATCCAAAATAATGACCGACAACCTGCAACAGACATCGTTTTGATTACTGAGAAAAAACAATATGCACAGAGCAATCTTTTTCACTTGATTATTGGTCAGTTTTTAATATGATAATCCCATATTACAACCATATTACAACCATAGCCGTAGATGTATTCGATGTGTTCACAACTGAACATAAATGTATCTTATTATATCACCCACACCGTTTGCAATGCGGACAACATCTGCCAGAGAAAAAAAACACGTTTTATATTTGCATTTTGAAAAAAAAACCTCGGCGTTAATACATATATATTTCACTAAAACTACAGAATTAAACCTGAAATAATTATGCTTCTTGTACTTTTCGAAAATATTGGACCGATAATTGAAAAAAGCAGCAGACAAATAAGCAATTGCAAACTCAGTTACACATTTTGATTTTTGTATTAACTCTCACGCTACACTCCAGCGATAATTTCAGTTTCGTCAAAATTAGATTAAGTTTGCAATTCTTTTATGTGTGCTTTAGTTGAAATATTTTATTATTATTTTCTTCTGAACAACAAATGACCCAATTCACTAATGACAACATCGCCAGTCAATAATATGATCACATTCAATGAAACTATTTAAACTTACACATGTTAAGAAGACACTTTGATAAAAAATGACGACAAATCGCCAACATTTTTGTTATCAGAAAACGAGTTATTTCAAGTTTAATTTTAGAAACGAGCGCGAACCCTGATACAATACTCAAAGATATCGCTATTGGCCCGTCAATGCTAAAATACTGATTATGTAGATCATCGCATTACCGATGACCTATCGGCGATTCCCTATTATCAATAATAGAATTATACAGAATTATATAGATTTTTTTCCGCCACAAATATACATGTATATTTCCCTAACACTCGTATAATGTGTCCCCTTACTGCATATCGTGCCAATCATGCAAATTAGAATGTTAATGACGTCATTCCAAGTACGCAAACGAGATTCACCCGGAGGATATAAATAACATACTTCAAATGTGCCGGCAACAGGGTCGGTCATATCAAACATCATGAAATCTGCATCACGGTCCCCATTTGCATCAATAGTAACGTCACCTTGGATACCTGAAGTGAAATATTACGAAAACAAATATAAAATTACTAGAATTATTCTTGTAATTGTTCAGAGGTCGACAAATACGCACGTATCTGGTTATGGCAGAGAAACACGTATATTACAAGATTTGAGTCACCTTATAAACAGGCAATCTGATATTCTTTGTGAAATGTAACTGTAATTGTATTGACTCTAGATATTTCGAACAAGGTATGTCATTAGCGCAAAGAAACGTGATAAAATTCAAATGAACTCGGGATCTATACTATCTAGTTAAACAGGACGAATGATGTATATATATATATATATATATATATATATATATATATATATATATATATATATATATATATATATATATATATATAGAGAGAGAGAGAGAGAGAGAGAG